GGGAGTACGGAGGATAGGGAGGAGAGAGGAGGAGGGATGAAGGATGAGGGAGGGAGTGAGGGAGGGAGGATGAGGAGGACGAGGAGGGCGGAAGAGGGAGGGAGGAGGACGGACGATGGGGGGGGAGATCGCACTGGCTCGACTCGGCAGGAGAGAACATCGATCACGTCCGCGCCGCCGCGGGGCCTCTGGCAGAAGCCGGGGACAGGAGGAGGCAGGGCGGGAGAGCTACAGGGCGAGGGGAGGAGGACGGGAGGGATGCGGGCCAGAGGGAGGCAGGCGACAAGGGAGGACGGGAGGGCAAGGGGGGGGCCCCCCCTCCTCCTCCTCCTCGCCTCCTCCTCCCTCTCATCCTCCTCACCACCTCGTCCTTCTCCTCCTCCTCCCTCCTCCTCCTCTCCTCCACCTCCTCTTCCCTCGCCCTCCTCCTCCTCCTCCTCCTCCTCCTCCTCCCTCCCTCCCTCCCTCCCTCCCTCCCTCCCTCCCTCCCTCCTCCTCCTCCTCCTCCTCCTCCCTCCTCCTCCTCCTCCTCCTGCTCCTCCTCGTCCCTCCTCCTCCCTCCTCCTCCCCCCCGCCGCTCCTCCTCCTCCTCCTCGCCTCCTCCTCCGCCTCCTCCTCCTCCTCCTCATCCGCCTCCTCCTCCTCCTCCTCCTCCTCTCTCCTCCTCCTCCTCCTCCTCCTCGTCCTCCTCCTCCTTCCTCCTCCTCCTCCCTTCTCTCCCTCCTCCTCCTCCCCTTCCTCCTCCTCCTCCTCCTCCTCCGATGCGGGCCGGAGGGAGGGAGGCGAGAGGGGTGGGGTGGGGCGGGCGAGCGGCAGGTCCTGCCCGCGCGCCCGCTCGCGCCGCCGGCGCCAGCCTGGGACGCCGGCGCCGTGCGCCTCGGCCCCCCCCGGGGGTGCTGCCGCCATGGCGGCGTCCAAGGTCGTCGCGGCCGCTGCGGCCGTGCCGCCCCCGGAGCAGCGTCCACCTCGTTTTTTTTGTTTTGTTTTGTTGTGGTTGTTATGTTTTTTGATTATTTGTTTGTTTTGTTTGTTGTTTGTATATTTGAAATACATATTTTATATACATTAGTTTGGTTATTGTCATCAGTGTTAGTGTTGTTCTTCTTCTTCTCCTTATTACTATTATTATTATTATTATTAATTTTATGATTAGTATTATTATTGTTATCATTATTATTAGTGCCATTATTATTATTATTATTATCATCATTATTATTAGTATTATTATTAGTATCATTATTATTATTATCATTATTATTTTATGATGTTTATTATTATTTCTCTTGTTGGGTAGAGAATAGTGTATAAACATATTTTTATGCAAACCAATACTATTTTTGTATTTTGTATAAAAACAGCACACAAACAAATCAACGTACTGCCGATCGGCGCGGGCCCTCGCTCCCCCCCCCGTGGAGCAGGTTTTGGCTGTTTTTTGGCGCCTGTGTCGAGCAGGTGGGGTCTCCCCTCAGAGGCCGCACTGCTGCAAACAGTCGCACTGAGCAGAGGTCTGGAGCCAGACCCCCTTCCCCCTCCTCCCCCCTTCCGCCCAATGTCGAAACGCCGAACAAAAGACGCTCACCTCTCGGCGGCGAGCCTCGAGTCGGGCGCGTCCGCTTGCAGGAGGAGCATTCGAGAATAGCCCTACAGTTCAGCATATGTTGCATCTTTTCTTTCTTTCCAGAATCCGCCTGCAGGAGGACATGCCCGATCTGAGGCGAGCGCCGATGGGGCAGGCGAGGGGGGGGGGCAGGCCTTCTCAGAAGGCGGCGAGGCCTCTTAGACGCCACCGCGCCTTCCGAGAAGCTTTCGATGCGTTGTTGTTCCGAAGGCGGTGCGGCCGCTTCTCAGAAGGCGCGAGGGCTTCTGAGAGGCCCTGTCGCCTGCTGATGAGGCCTGCCCCCTCTCACTTTCCCCAGGCTTGCCGCCGGATCTCGACCCGACCGATCCCATCCGATACCCAGACGAGGAGCAGCTGCCGATGCGCTGTGCCCGTCCCTCGCCACCACGGCTGCACTCGCCTCGAAGTCCAGGTCGGAGCGCACTCCAGGAGAGGTCCACGGTACGGCGGCATCGCTGGCTTTTTTTTGATCCCCTGGATACCCATCGGCTGTTGCAACCAGTTCTCTGGTGGCTCCCTTGTGCCAGTCTGCTGCAGCTGCCCTTCCGCGCCAAGGGCCGAGCGGTTCTCCCTCCTCCCTCGGCAGGTGGCGGGTGGAGCACTAGTCTACAGTCGGGGCGCTGAAGAAGAAACCCTTCTCGTTGGGGAGGGGCTCCGAGTTGCTTCATTGCTTCACTTCAGATTTTCGATGGGACATTTAATTTTAACTTATTCCCTACCTAGGCTCTGCCTAGAAGGGTTCTTACTTTCTTGGCTTAAAGGTGGGAAGTGCAAATCGCCCCGGGCGGTTCCCCCAGTCCCCTGGGACCCAAGCAAAAGCAACAGCAAAGGTAGAAGCAAACGCGCGGTTCCCCCAGTTGCGCTCCCTGGGTGCGAAGCAAAAGCAACAGCAACGGTAAAAGTGAAGGCAAAAGCAAAGGCAAAGCAAACACATATCATAGCATATCATAGCATATCATAGCATAGCATAGCATAGCATAGCATAGCGCAGCACAGCACAGCATAGCACAGCATAGCCTAGCCTAGCCTAGCCTAGCCTAGCCCAGCATGGCATTGCGCAGCATAGCATCGCATAGCATAGCATAGCATAGCATAGCATAACATAGCATAGCATAGCATAGCGCAGCACAGCATCCACTATTTCTCCTAGAGGCTCCAACTCCTAGGTAGGGTCGCACTGGGATAATGGAAAAAAGGGGCCTCGTTCCTGATTTTGGGCTCCTGAGGTCAACGCCCCGACTGGACTTTCAACGCCTTCCTACTTCCTGCTTCTATCCATCTCTTCCGGCCGATGAGCAGCGGTTCCCAGCTGGCTCTATCCGATCCCGCCCCGGCGATCTGTTGCGGCTCGGTGCCCGCGTGCCGCTCGGGTGCGCCCTCGGGGTTGGCCGACCCGGTTCGATGCAGACTCCCACTCCGCCCCGAGGCGGCCCGATCCGACGCAAGTCCTGGTCCGCTCCGATCTCCCGATTCGATTGGGAGGCCACTTGCCCCTCCTCCTCCTCCTCCTCCTCCGCCTCCTCCTCCTCCGCCTCCGCCTCCTCCTCCGCCTCCTCCTCCGCCTCCTCCTTCGCCTCCTCCTCCTCCTCCTCCTCCTCTCCTCCTCCTCCTCCTCTCCTCCTCCTCCTCCGCTCCTCTTCCTTCCCTCCTCCGCCTCCTCCTCCGCCTCCTCCTTCCTCCTCCTCCTCCTCCTCCCTCCTCCTCCTCCTCCGTTCCCCTCCTCCTCCGTCCCTCCTCCGCCTCCTCCTCCTCCTCCTCCTCCTCCTCCTCCTCCTCCGCCTCCTCCTCCTCCGCCTCCTCCTCCGCCTCCTCCTCCTCCTCCCCCTCCTCCCTCCTCCTCCTCCCCTCCCCCTCCTCCTCCTCCTCCGCCTCCTCCTCCGCCTCCTCCTCCGCCTCCTCCTCCTCCTCCGCCTCCTCCTTCTCCGCCTCCTCCTCCGCCTCCTCCTCCGCTCCTCCTCCTCCTCCTTCCTCCTCCTCCGCCTCCTCCTCCTCCTCCTCCTCCGTCCCTCCTGCTCCTCCTCCTCCTCCGCCTCCTCCTCCTCCGCCTCCTCCGCCTCCTCCCCCTCCTCCTCCGCCTCCTCCGCCTCCTTCTCCGTCTCTTTCTCCGCCTCCTCCGCCTCATCTCCCCGCCCTCGACGCTGATGGGCGCCCGGGTGAGTCCGTCGATGCCGCGCGGGCCGCCCGCGCTGCCCCCTCCCCGATGCGATCCGCTTTTCCGATCCGAGCCCTGCCCCACCTCCCCCCCTTAGATTTATGATGCTCCAACCTACTTTAGCCTTGACCGCCAGGAAGAATTTCGAGCGCCCCAAAAAGTACTGAAACTCGAGGGTTTTCACGTGTCGGGCCCTGGGAGACACTCGCCCGACACTGTTCCGACACTGTCTCGACATTATTTTGACATTTTTCTGGGTGCTCGAAATTATTTCTGGGATGTGGTCTTTATGTAGGATGGGAACAACCTAGCCTTAGATTAAAGTCGGGCACGTCCCTCTACATGGGGAATATTCAAAGATAGTCAGAAAACAGTCTGGGGACGATTTGTGTATTATTTTTAGACCATTGGGGAGTATTCTTTGTGGGTATTTTTTTATTATTATTTTTCGTCCAGAATCCCCCTGTAGGGGGACATGCCCGACTCCCCCCTGAGAAATCGTGGGGTGATTGGGTAGGGTTCGCATGTGGCCTCCTGATCGATGCTGGCCGATCCTGCCTCGAGTCGCGCGCGTGCGTCGGCGCGTCGGCAGTGCGCCACGGCTCGCAAAGAGAGCGCTGGGGGGGGCTCTGAGAAGGCAGCGGCCTTCCAGAAGGACATTGCAGGCTTATAGGAGGACTTCGTAGCAGACGGGAGCTTCATGCAGCCTCGAGGCCTCGAGATCATCCTTACCCCTAAGACCTAGGCTTCCTAGATGGGGTCCGAGTAGATGGTGTCGGAGGATCGCGCCGCATCGCCAGAGTATCGACGATGCGGCTCGATGCGGATCCCGATTTTCTCCAAGCCGACGGCGCCGTCGCCGACGTCGCTGATGCATCGCCGTTGCATCGCCGTTGCATCGGTGATGCATCGGCGATATTGTGCGATCCTCCGACCCCATCTGCTCGGACCCCATCCAGGAGGCCACCACAAGAGTGCCAAGCCCAAGGCGATGGCACTATTCGGAATGTGCCCTCAGGAGCTTGGGGTATCCTCGAGGTCGGTTTCGGGATCAGGTGGTGCTCATCTTGGGAACGGGGTCATGCTGCAGGTTGGGCAGGAGGGCTTCTCTTAAGGAGCCTCCTGCCCTCTGAGGAGCCTCCCGCCTGTCGAACAGGCAGGCCTTCGCGCCCCGCTCCACCCCCTTGCGCGCGCCGTCCATCAAGATTCTCGGACGTGCTCGGTGTTTTTTAGGCTTAAAACAGGCATGTCCCTCTCCACAGGAGGAACGTTCAAACAGTAGTCAAGCATAAGCTGGGAACGATCTTTTTTAAAGATGAGTTTCGACTACTTGTCATTTATCTTCAAGCCCGCCTGTAGGAGGACATGTCGAGATAAGTTTAGGCCTTTGTGAGACGCCTCATCGCCACGTCACGGTTGGATCCGCCTCGAAAATTCTGGCAGGAGCGCCCCCCTAGACAGGTACTGACTTCTGACCCCGGAATTTGGCTCGCCATGAAGAAGCGTACTCGCAGTCGTGGAACACCTTGCCAGCGAACGTCGGTCTTTTTGTCAGGCCTCTGGGAGGCGCCTCATCGTCACGTCACAGTTGGATCCGCCTCGAAACTCTGACAGGAACGCACCCTTGGACAGGTGCTGACTGGACCCAGGAGTCTGGATCGCCACGAAGAAGCGCAGTCGTGGAACCCCTTTTCCCTCATGCCAGCGATCGTGCTCGACGCACCTGGGTGCGGCGGGTGGGGCAGCGGAGACGCGGGACTGCCAAGGTGCTTGCGATGGCCGCCATGGTGCGCGGGCGTTCGGAAAGCCACCGAGAGCGCTCTGGGCCTCTGGAGCCCACTGCCGTTCGCCCCGCCACCCCCAGGCCGCCAAGCCGCGCCCAGTCCTCATAAGAAGGGGCCCCCGACCCCTCGCCTCCCGGCTCCTGGTGCCGGCACGGCCTTGGAGGCAACATGATCGGGCTGCCAGGCTGGGAGACTTGAAGGTTTGAGGACTGGGTGGAGGGATGCGGGAGGCCGGAGGAAGGTAGGGGTCGATGAAGGTGGAGGCAGAGGAGGAGGAGGGTGAGGAGGAGGAGGAGGAACTAGAAGGACGAGGAGGAACTGCAGGATGACAAGGGTGGCGAGAGTAGTAGTGGTGGCGAAAGTATTAGTAGCAGTCGCATTACTGTGATAAGCAGTACTTTTTTGTAGAAGTGACTGGAGAAGCAGTAGTAGTAGTAGTAGTAGTAGTAGTAGTAGTAGTATTCGTAGTGGTAGTCGTAGTCGAAGTCGTAGTCGTAATAGTGGTCGTAGTCGTAGTAGTCATAGTCGTGTCAGTAGTAGTAGTAGTAGTAGTAGTAGTAGTAGTAGTAGTAGTAGTAGTAGTAGTAGTAGTAGTAGTAGTAATAGTATAGAAGTAGTAGTAGTAGTAGTCGTAGTCGTAGTCGTAGTAGTAGTAGTAGTAGTAGTAGTAGTAGTAGTAGTAGTAG